CAGACTGGAGTGCAATGGCATGATCTTGACTCACTACAACCTCCGCCTCCTGGATTCAAGCAATTCTCCTGCCTCAGCCTCCTGAGTAGCTGGGACTTCAGGTGCGCGCCACGATGCCAAGCCAATTTTTGTATTTTTAGTAGAGACGGAGTTTCACCATTTTGGCCGGGATGGTCTCGATCTCTTGACCTCATGATCCGCCCTCCTGGGCCTCCCAAAGTGCTGAGATTACAGGCATGAGACGCTGCGCCCAGCCCAAACTTGGATTTAAATCTCAGCTCTGTTATTTGGATGAGCCAAGATCCCTACTGCGTGACCTTGACTAACTCATTCCTATGCTCAATTTCTTCATCTTAAAAATGAGAATAATAGGCCAGGCATGGTGGCTCATGCCTGTAATCGCAGCACTTTGGGAGACTGAGGCAGGTGGATTACTTGAGGCCAGGAGTATGAGATCAGTCTGGCCAACCTGGCGAAACACTAGCTCTACCAAAAGTACGAAAATTAGCCAGGCATGGTTAGTGTCAGGCATGGTTGCAGTGAGCCAAGATTGCACCACTGCAGTCCAACCTGGGCAACAAATTGAGACTCCATCTAAAAGAGGGAAGGGGAAGGGAGAGGAAGGGAGGGAAAGGGAGGAGGAGAGGGGTCTTCCTTTAAGAAGTAAAAAATAAAAGAAAACATGGGACTAGGCTGGGTGCAGTGGCTCATGCCTGTAATCCTAGCGCTTTGGGGGGCCAAGGTGGGCGGATCACTTGAGCTCAGGAGTGCGAGACCAGCCTGGCCAATATGGTGAAACCCATCTCTACCAATAATACAAAAATTAGCCAGGCATGGTAGCAGGTGCCTGTAATCCCAGCTACTTGGGAGGCTGAGACAGAAGAATCGCTTGAGCCTGGGAGGAGGAGGTTGCAGTGAGCCGAGGTCGTGCCACTCCACTCCAGCCTGGGTGACAGAATGAGACTCTGTCTTAAAAAAAAAAAGAAAAAATGGGAATAATTATATTAGTTATACATTACTTAACAACAAGGACACATTCTGAGAAATGCACGTTAGGTTATTCCTTCATTGTGCAGACATCAGAGAGTGCACTTACTACAGACGTAGAGAGCGTAGCCGACTGCACACCTAGGCTCTATGGTGTAGCCTATTGCTCCTAGGTGACAAAACTGTACAGCATGCTCCTGAATGGAATACTGTAGGCAGTTGATACACAGTGGTGAGCATTTGCATATCTAAACACATGTAAATGAAGAAAAGGTACAGTAAAAATATGGTATTATAATCTTAGGGGGCCACCATCATATATGCAGCCTATCATTATATATTACGTGACTGTACTACCTCATGGGGCTGCTCCTGGAATTAAATGAGTTAAAGCAGTAAATTGTTTGGCACACTGTCTGATGCAGAGCAAGATATCAACTTAGTTGTCCTTGCTGTTACTTAGAAAGTTGCAACCAGCAAGCCTGAGAGAAGCTCCTTGGTTTTATTGTAGTGATCAGAAAAATCGAGAAAGAGATGAAATAGTAATAGCATGCTTGGTAAAGAGCTTTACAGCTTCTGTGACGTATTTTCACGTGCACCGTCTCCTTTAAAGGCTGGAGGACTGGCCCCGTCTCTCTCCACACCATTTATGATTATGTGCATGTCATACCCAGAGGAGATTTGGAAGTTATCCAGGGAATGTGATGTCTATAGACCCCAAACAGAAGGAAGGTTGGGGACTTCCCATCTTAGCTGGAGAGGAGCTTGGGATGGAGGATAGGAAGGAGGTCACCAGGGTCACTGCTGCCTTACTTCTTGCTGTCCACAGAAGAATTCCACGGGAGACAGAACAGTGTGATGGGGAGTTAAAGGGCAGCCTCAAGCAAGAGACTGACTGTTGCTGTGGCCTGACTTGCCATTTCTCACTTACCTCATCTGTAAAATGGGATCGTCCCAGTGCCCACTTCACTGAGCAAGGATGAGGATGAAATAAGCTAGTGTGTGCAGAAGGTATGCCACGTGGTCCAGAGTAAGCACTTTGCACTGAGTGAGCTCAAGATTTCTGACCTCCAGTAAATGTGCCGGCCATAGGGTGACAGGAGCACCTGCCCATTTCTTTGCTAGACATTGCCACCTAGATGCCCCATAGGCACTTGAAACCCAGCTTGTCCAACCCTGAACTCATCATTTTTTTCCAAAGTCTGTCCTTCATACGGTGTTTCCAACCTTCATGAATTGGCACCAAGATCAGCCAGGCACTGGAACCAGAAATCAGGAGTCAATCCACTCTCCTATTCCCTCCTCTCCTCCGCATACAATCACAGACCAAGGCTGTGCAGTTTAGCTCCTTAAACTGTCTCCAGTCTGTCCAGTCTTCCCATTCCCGCTGTTGCTGCCTCTTAGTAAATTAAGCCCTTGACAGAAAATGAAATATAGCTTTTCACAAAGCTCAGTTTCTAGACCCTTATAGGAAACCAGGATGTCCAGCCTGGCTGGAGAGGAATCCCCAAGGCCATCCTAAAGGGAGGCGAGGCCCCAGCTAGAGATCTTGTCATGACGGCAGACACGGTGCTGTTTGCGGATGGGCTTTTGAAGGTATTTGGGGTTAAAGTGAAATGACAGAGTCCCTGCAAATGAATTACAGTTTATCATTCTTGTGTGTTTACCTTTCAGGAAAAGCTATCAGAGCTGTTCCCTGGTGCATATTACATTGTCTGCCTGATTCACCCTCCCAGACTTCATTTTGGCCTTGTGCAATCTCTTTGTTAAGACTTTGTTTCATGATTCATTATACAGGTCAAACCTCCCTTGCCATTGCTTTGCCTAGTTACTGACAGCTGGAACAAATTAGACCTAGCCTGGTTCCTAAGCTGCAGTGCTGGTGTGAACACCATGGTTGCAGTTTGCCTTGAAAACTCCAGGACAGCAAATTTACACCTTTAGGAAAGGCGAATTGTTAACCTGAAATTGGAGGTGATTTTTTTTTCCTCCTAAATGAGCCAGGAAACTATTCAAAGTATGTTTGCTATTAGCTTATCACTCCCCACCTTGCCGTTCTCTCATTCAAGTATGCACAAGGGCATACACCTGCGTATGTGCTGAAGGACTTCTGAAATGAAATCCTCACACCCACAGATACTGCTGCCACTCTCCTTTCGTTTTAGAGGGCTTTGTTGAGTAGCTGAAATTGTTGGTATTTTCTTTTGAGCTTAGAGAAGCATTGTATTTAATGCAATATCAACATATTTAAAAGACATACTGTGCAAAAGGCCTTTTGAGTCAGGTAGATGTTTTAAACCCACTCACAAAAAAAGTGCTTTTATTAAACAATGTGAATACTTTTATAAAATTTCCTAAGGCCATCAAAATTATTTATTAGTACCAATACTCTGGATTTAATTTTGCCTATTGATTCTGACTTTGTAAAGAAAAGTAAATGGAGGAAAGGAGACTCGCACTTAATCAGCATTTATGGTGTGTTGGGTACAATATCAGGCAAAAATCAGCATCATTTACTACTGTCAACTTCAAGGCAGGTACTGTGATCTCCATCTAAGCAAGAGGAAACCGAGACTCCCAAGGGCCAACTTACTTTTCCAGGGCTGGGGTGAGCTGTCTGGTCCCAAAGCCAGTTCCTCCCGTTCATGGACTGTTCTCTACAAACTCATATCAATTATTTTAGAGAAGAAGAATGTACTGCAGTTAGCTCTGCTACCCATTTGGAAGACCTGTTTTCTAATTCCATGTTTTCCATGGGTATGGCTCCAAAATTAACTTTGTAGCTTTAAAATAACCCCGCAGGCCCAGTGCCATAGCTCACGCCTATAATCCCAGCACTTTGGGAGGCCGAGGTGGGTAGATTGCTTGAGCCCAGGAGTTCGAGACCAGCCTGGGCAACATAGTGAGAACCTGTCTACAGAAAATAAAATAATTAGCCAGTCATGGTGGCATGTGCCTGTGGTCTCAGCTACTCAGGATTCTGAGGTGGGAAGATAGCTTGAGCCTGAGAGGTTGAGGCTACAGTGAGTCATAACTATGCCACTGCACTCCAGCCTGGGCAGCAGAGTGAGTCCCTGTCTCAAACAAACAAAGTGATCCAACAGTGGAGTGAAGGATCCATATGAGGACATGTAATGGCATTATTTGCCCCAAGTTGCTTGTTCTCAACACAAACCTCTGGCAAGTTCCAGCTGAAGCAAAGAAAATTTAGATGGAGGGCCGGGCGCAGTGGCTCATGCCTGTAATCCCAGCACTTTGGGAGGCTGAGGCAGGAGGATCACGAGATCAAGACCATCCTGGCCAACATGGTGAAACTCTGTCTCTACTAAAAATACAAAAATTAGCTGGGCGTGGTGGCGCATGCCTGTAGTCCCAGCTACTCAGGAGGCTGAGGCAGGAGAATCGCTTGAACCCGGGAGGGGGAGGTTGCAGTGAGCCAAGATTGCACCATTGCACTCCAGCCTGGCAACAGAGTGAGAATCTGTCTCAAAAACAAAACAAACAAAAAAAGAAAATTAGATGGAGGGAAAGTGAAACATTCACACAGGTAGATGGAATCAGATAGAAAGCGTTGAAGGCTTAGGAAAAGGGCAGGTAAACTCCTTTGAGAAGTCAGAATTGGGAGAAGTTTTGCCCCACTTAGAGGTGAAGAAAGATTTGGAATGTTTCCGGGAGGAAACAGCATTTGAGCAGAGCCTTGGCCTTGAAGGATGGAGGAAAATTCATTTCAAGCAAAAAGGAAACTGGGTGAACAAAAACACAACAGAGGCAGGAAAGTGAGAACATTAGTGGGAAATAGGTTATTAATAGTGCTGGATTATCAACAACACTGCTCTTCAGATCCATATGGTAGCTCAGGTGTCTGGAATCCAACAGAGTTCATTCTGTTATTACAGTCGTCTATTGCTGGAGGAGCAATCTTTCAAATGATGCTACACATCTGGATGTTCTCTTTCTGAATGTTATTATCTGTGTGCATAGAAGCAGTCATGTTAACTGACATCAATTTTAAGATCCTGTTTCATTTTGTTCTTGCAGAAGGAAACTCCACTTGCCAACGCTGCATTCTGGGCAGCCAGGAGAGGAAACCTGGCGCTGCTGAAGCTGCTGTTGAACAGTGGCCGGGTGGACGTGGACTGCAGAGACAGCGTACGATGGTTCGGTAGATGCATGCCCAGCATCTGTGGGCAGAGGAGCACCTCAGGAATACATTCCCCTTTACGATGCTTATTTACTTGTTCATGTGTTTGCTTGCTTTATCCTTTTTAAAACATCCAAGGTACTGTGGTGAACTTAAAAACATGCTGAGGGAAGTCAGAAAGAAAAGGAAACAATTAAAGGCATAAAACAGAAGGCAACCACAATAGGGAAAGAGGCACTTCACTGGGAATCAGAATTGGCAGATTACAAGAAGAAAAGCCTGTTTAGTGAACGAATTCAAGCCAACCACTTTCATGAAAAGATGGAGATAATTTAGAGCACAAGTGGGCTGCCATGGATGTGGGCGTTATGTTTCTTCTACAAGGATGAGAAAACAAAAATTGAAGCCTCCCCCCGGGCTTTTATCCTTTCATTACCTCTTGCAAACATAAGTACACTAATTGGCAATTTAAAAGGGGAAACAAAAATAGATACTAGTGCCCACCGGCAGATACCACTTAGAGTGCCTTCCCATCCCCAGCTAGAGGCAATCCTTTTTCTGTCCTCAGCAAGACTTCTCATCTCTGGGGACTAAGAGGACCTCCAGTGAGGAAAGGGAGCAAGCAGTGATGTTTTGATTTTAGAATTTGAATAAAAATGTTTCAAAGGAGTTTTGTTTTCCTAAAAACAGGGTGTGCCATTTCCAGCTTTTATTGTACAAATTTGGTTCAGTGAAATCCACCACCAGCCCAAAAGTGAAATAGCAGTTTGCCCCAGTTGGCCCCGTTGGGGCATCAGGGCAGGATATCTTTGGTTTACAGGATATCTTTGATTACACCTCCAGACCCACTCCACACCCTTCTCGCTCTTAGTCCCACAGTCTGAACTGTATGTACTACTTCAGCAGACTCACTTCCCTCTGGCCTCCAGTGGTGTTTGGCCCATAGGAGCATCTGCAGGAGTCAGAGAGTGGGAGGAAAGGGATGTCAGGGAGCCCAGCGCCCTCCCTGTTTCTGTCTGGCAGCAGCGCCCCGCTGTTCTCTGCATCCTGGGAGCCACTCCCTTGCCCTGGCACCTTCAGGCTTCGGCTGGTCATGGACTCCCACTGTTCCTAAATCCCAGTACTATGCTGTTCTTTCTAGATGCCCTATGCCCAAGCCTTAGCTTAATAGTCTCTTTATTCCACTTTCTTCCAATTATCCCAATTTGAACGTACCATCTGTTCCTTGCCACAACTCGGGCTGTTGTCAGGTCTTGGGCATCTGTGAACTGGCCATCTCGGTCTTACTTGGGTTTTACGGGGTTGGTTCCTACACCATAGTGGGAAAATCATAGGGCAGAAACACCAGCTATCACTGTGGCCAACATGGCGAAACCCCGCCTCTACTAAAAATACAAAAATTAGCCGGGCGTGGTGGCAGGCACCTGTAATCCCAGCTACTCAGGAGGCTGAGGCAAGAGAATCGCTTGAACCCGGGAGGCGTAGGTTGTAGTGAGCCAAGATCATGCCATTGCACTCCAGCCTGGGAGACAAGAGCGAGACTTCATCTCAAAAAAAAGAAATACCATAGAGCACCACTAAGAAGCCATTAGCTTTTCATTACTTCGTTACTTTACCTGTACTTTTTACATAAAGCCAACAAGACTTTCACAAAACTCGCATGGCCATTGGCAGAAGTCAACAAAAGCCAGATGACAGCCTAACATTGAATTATCATAATGTTATTTTAATATCTGACACTTACTGAACTAATATCTACCATTACTGTGTTAACCATATTGCCTGACTTATCTCATTCACTAATTTAACCAGGCGGATACTTTTATTATTCCCCCATATTTCAGAAGAAGAGAATGAGACTGAAGGGTTACATGATGTGCCCAAGATCATACTGTCAGTGACTACTCAGCAATACTGCCTTCCTACAAAATCCCATAGATGAAAATAACACGAAGCCTCCAAATTTCACTTAATTACCCTATACCTAATGAGCCTCCCCTGTGTGCAGAGCCATCTGTCTCTCTCGTCGTCCACTTCTGAGCGGCACGTTGCTGAATATACAGAGGTGGTAGCTAAGAATTTCAAGCGCTTGAAAACAACTGTAAGTCAAACTGCAAATGCCCACTTCAATTAGAAGGGTCCATATCACATGGTACACCTCAAGTCCTTGAATCTTAGAGCTGGGACAGACTTTGGTGATCGTCCCATCCAACCTCTCATTTAAAAAAATGAAATAAATGAGTCCAAGTAATTGTAAGCAAATTGCCCAGGTTACACTGTTGGTCAGTGACAGCCACCTGGGTTTAGCCCCCACAGCTCCTGACTCTCAGCTCTCTATTCTCTCATTTCACCTGGTGCCATACATCTTTACCTGAATCATTTTGAAGATGAAGACTTTTAAATACAGAAAATCAGATGGTACCATTTAATTTTTTCTTTTGCATTAATAGCAATGTTTTGGCTCAGGAATCATTTAATAGGAATCATAAAATGAGAGCATTGTATCATCGCTGCCTTAAAATGCAATAACTATGGTTCCTTTGGACTGTGCTTCTGAAGGTAATGGAAGTAAGTGAATTTTTAGATTGAAAATTCCAACCTCAGCAATTTGTCGCTTTGCTTTTTCCCGTCTAGGCTACATGATGAGATTATTCATGAGCACTTTCATCACTGCAGGGAATTTTGCCTTTGGGTGTGTTCTGAGTGGAGCTGACGTCTCTGCAGCATCTTTTCTAGGACCCTTCTCTCTGACATAGCAGTGGCCTAACTCTTCATCTGTCTCTCCTCCATCCAGCACGGCACCACGCTCCTGATGGTTGCTGCCTACGCTGGCCACATAGACTGTGTGAGGGAACTGGTTCTGCAAGGAGCAGACATCAATCTCCAGAGAGAGGTAGGTCAGGCTTTGTACTTGAAGAAAAATGACCAGGCTCAGAGATCTGAAGTTTTCATAACAGTGAACTGGTATAGGGGACAAGAGCCATCATTGCTTTTCTCCCACATTAAAGCCCATTGAAGAGTTTATTGTGCCTACAATGAGGTCCAGCAACATACTAGCAGTTACAATGCATTTGAGCGTAGCTTGTCGGGCACATCTGAGGTAACCAAACCTCTTACCACCTGCCTATAAACACTCACACTTTTTTTTTTTTTTTTGGTCAAGCTTAAATCAGTTCTTTATTCTTCCCTTGGGATGAGATACTGTAGGATTTATAGCATTTTCATATAGATCATTATATTTTTAGAAGAGTTGAGTCACCAGCGTATTTGTAATGAGACTCACTTGCTAGGATGTCTCAATCATCCTCCCCAAACCATGTTTTCAAAGGACTGCTCTGTAACTGGCCATGAATTAAATAAGCTTTCCTGAAAAAAGCCATATGGGTCAACACTGGACAAAAATGTGAGCCTGTTCCCACACTTCATTCGAAGACAATCCTGGGAGTTTGGTCTTGCTTGAGGATCCATTCTTGGTCTAATCTAGAGAAGCAGAAGGGAGGCTGGACTTTTTTTTCTTTCTTCTTTTTTTTTTTTTTTTTTTTTTTAAGACGGAGTCTCGCTCTGTGGCCCAAGCTGGAGTGCAGTGGCGCTATCTCAGCTCATGCAACCTCCGCCTCCCGGGTTCAAGCGGTTCTTCCGCCTCAGCCTCCCGAGTAGCTGGGACTACAGGTGTGTGCCACCACACCAGGCTAATTTTCTGTATTCTTAGTAGAGATGGGGTTTCACCATGGTGGCCAAGATGGTCTCGATCTCCTGACCTCGTGATCCACCCACCTCAGCCTCCCAAAGTGCTGGGATTGCCTAGGCCAGGACATTTTGACATACTTTGGGGCTCAGTTCTGAGAAGGCTCCATCCATATATTTCCAAGCTGACGTAGGACCTGGTAAACTAATCTTTGTGGAGACACACGCTGAGATCATCCCTAGAGTGCATCTGACCTCTCAGTTCACACTGACTCAGACCTGAGATGGGCTTCCTGGGCAAGTCCAGACTGAACCACTTGGTCTTCCTCAGTCCAGCCTTATTTTATCCCAGGTCCTGCCTTGCAACATTTTAGAAAGACAATTCACCAGCCAAACTTCCGTCAAGCCAGTATATCGTATATCTCATTCTTCCAGCCTGGACCGTCACCTCTGAGTGGAGCAAATTAAGACACGTCAGGTCTCAGGACTGTCTCAAGGGTTCCAGGTGTAACATACGCCTGGGCAACATAGCAAGACCCTATCTCTACAAAAAAATTTAAAAATTTAGCCAGACATAGTGGTCCACACCTATAGTACCAGTTACTTGAGATGCTGAGATTAGAGGCTTATTTAAGCCCAGAAGTTACAGGCTGCAGTGAGCCATGATTGCACTACTGCACTCTAGCATGGGCAATGCAGCGAGACCCTGACTCAAAAATAGAGTTCCAAGGCACATCCGGATGTCCTTCCCACCACCCGTCTGGGTGTTGGAGGCCTTGGCTGTGGACCATGAAAGAGTGACATGCAGAATCTGGGTCTGGGTCTCTGTAGCCCTGGATCAACAGGCCTGGTCTATTGAGAGGAACAGTATAAAGAGACTACAGCAAATGCAATCTTCTCACAAACAGATTCTTTGTTGCAGTTTCCATAACACTAGATCGTTGTTTTAGGCCATTTTCACTTCAGCACTTAATTTTCCAGTGGGATGAAAGTATCTGGACCCATTTAGAATTATACTTTAAAATTACTTTAATCTTTTTATTTTTCCTCTCTGCTTTATGGTCTTTGTTTATTACAACTTTAAAGACAGATTTTCTCTAATAAAAACAATATGGTCCAGATCTGGTTTACTTTAAAAACTTTATCCTGAAGGACAAATTCAACATGCACAAAAATCTCTCTGAAACAACTGAGAAAAGCAGCTAGAAGAGAGAAGTATTTGATTTCTAGCCAGTCTATGGTTTCTATGGTTTTATATTTATCCATGTGGTTCCAGTTGCTCAGCCAATCTTGGAGATGAAAACTCTTGCAGCACTGAGAACAAAAGCCTTTGAAGATTTACCAAAGTGTACGCAGCTTAATGGTAACTTGTGTGGCTCAAATGATGGTGCTGTGTACGTTCCTGGCAGTCCCTGAATTTCCTGAGACTGTGTCAGTCTGGAGCAAGAGGGCTGCCAAGCCAAAGGCAGACCCCAGCCTCCTGTACCAGTTTTGGAAGCTGAAATAGTGCCTTGCAGTGCTTTGAAACTTACTCCTATGGCAGATTTCTGCCTTGATCCATTGTTAATCCACTTTGCAGTATCAGAATATTTGTCTCCTGAAAAACTACCTGCCACTCTGCTTAGGTCAGCTCTCTAGATACACAGAGCTTGCTAGAGAGACAAACTGGAAGCTAATGTTCCTGAAACACTATTGCTTTAAAGAACCCACAATTGGCTGATGATACCTCTCAGGCATAGGAGCTGCAAATGCAGTTGGCATGAAGCCTGAAGTAAGGCACACATATTTAAAACTTTTGTTCACATTCCAGACTAAGGTCTAGGTCCTATTGTCTATGGATTGCTGCATTGAGGTACTGAATGATTGATAGTAGTATGTATGTTCTAAAATCAACTCAAACTGCTCTAATAATGATTTATGTAATTAATGTGTCAAGAAAGCCTATTGAAAAATAAATTCTTTTACTAAGGAAACAACTTCTAGAAAAGATCTTTGGTGGTCTCTACAATTTAATGTCTGTTGAGAAAGTGGGAGTTTTCCTATTCTAGCCAAGTTTGTTCCTCTAGAACTATTGATTCCCTAAGGTTTCTGGAACCCAGCATCCTCAACTGTACCAAAGCAGTGGGAGGATGCTTCCCACTTATTTCTGTGGGAACCAAGGAGAAAATCACACCTGCACTGCAGGCAGAAAGGCCCTGTGAATGGTCACAATGCCTGTGCCTTCCTGGGACAGAGTCTGGCTGAGGGCACAGCCTGATGTGGGTTATATCTATCTGGGAAGGTGTTACATGTTCTCCCTCAGTGGTGGTCGTATCAGCACCCTAGATTCTTGTAATCTCCCAGGATAGAAGTCAAGAGAGATTGTCAGATAGCAAAGAGAAAGTTTGTTTAGCTTGTGCATAAGGGAACGAGGTTCCGTTATGGAAAGGAAAAGGGTTGGCTGCTGCCCAAGAGAAGTATGTGGGTTTGTTTTATAGGGCCTTTTTAAAGGGAAGGGTTTAGTTGGGGCATGTATAGGAGGGGTTTCTGCAGCACTTGCACAGTAGCTCAATATGCTTTTTTATGCATCGCATGTAAGATTAGCATTTTAAATCTCTACCTTCAGGTGTGATTTTTAGCATTAAGATAAGGAAGAGGTGACTGTAAGTTGAAGTTTAAGTCTAACTCTGCATGCAGGGCACCAGGAAGTCCCTACCCACCTAAAGTGAGAATTGTGGTTGGTCTTTTGTTGCTGATTGGCTGTCACAGGATCCTTAGGGTATCACTTTGCCAGCAGGAAATCTCCATGGCTGGCAGTGCCTTCCGCCCGAGTGTTGCTCAGGCCCGTTGGGCTCATTCTGCCCACTTGGCCCAGCAGGCTGCACTCAGTTCACCCTACCAGCCCAGATCCCACACCTGCCAAAGGCAAGCCAGGTGTGTGAGCAAGCATGGGGTCCAGCCACTACACACAACCAGGCATGCCAGCTGTGGTGAGGCTAGCAGCTCCAGGGACTGGCACAGGCACCAGCTCTGTGTGAGGCTGTGGCTGGACCAGGTGTACCGCAAGTGGCTTCCACTGCAGGCACCAGGGAATGTAGTGGTGCCTGGAAGCTTGGAGATGCCAGGAATCGCAGAACCCCAAAGACGGTATCATAGCCCTGTCTCAGGGAGCCCCTAGGTCTGGGCTCCCCGAAGGGCCACAGCTCTTCTCTCCTCATCACCTGCAATGTGGTGAGCAGAAGGCATGTTTCAGCCCTGTTCGTATTATAAACAGGGTCATTCAGCAGGTCCCAAATTCTTGTCCCACATCCAAGAAGAATGAGTTATGCAAACAACTGGAGGGTGAACAAAGTGGAGAGGAGCTTCGTTGAGTGACAGAACAGCTCCCAGGAGACCCGAAGTGGATGACTCCTTTCTGCAGCCAGGTTGTTCTAACAAGTGTTCAGCTCTCAGTGGGGAGGAGACCCATAGTGGGTAGCTCCTTTCCACAGGCAGGTCATCCTGACGATTTGAGGAGACCCAAAATTGATAGCTCCTCCCACAGCCAGTAGTCCCAACATCTGTGTCCAGCTCTCAGCAGAGAGGAGACCCACAGTGTGTAGCTCCTTCCCGTAGCTGGTAGTCCTGACCTATGTGTCCAGCTCTCAGTGGACAGGAGACTCACAGTGGGTAGATCCTTCCAGCAGCTGGTAGTCTGGACATCTTTTTGAATCTGGCTGAGTCAGAGATTTTTATGGGCTCAGAAAGGAGGGGTGTGTGCTGATTGGTCCATGGGAAACCATGGGTAGGAACGTGTCTGCCTCCCACCATCAACATGCTATCCACAGCACCCAGGCTGTTCCTGCCAAGGGGCGCCTACAGGCCCACACCTAGCTGCCCTCAGCCCCTCGGCCTCCCTCCTGTGCTTGTCAGCACCCGAAGTCTGGAGGGGGCCAAGGTCGGGGACAAGGCTGGCATGTCAGCACCACCTGAAGCACGCACACCTCAAGCACGTACTTGCCTAGCCAGGTCATGACAGACAGCACCCAGGCTCGGCTACAACTTTGCTCCGCACCGGAGCAGGTGCTGGGAGTGTCGAGAGACCAGGGAGCAGGAGCAGGCACTTCCAAGCCTGCGGGGGGAAATGGGGGCTTCCCAGGCCCAGAGAGCACAGGGATGCCCAGAACTGGAGCTGCAGCTGGGCATGGCTCTCCCACCCATCAACTCAGTAGGGGACAGGGCTCCCACCTGCTTCCAGCTCCCACTGGACCTGAGGAGCGTGCAGCCCCAGCCGTACCTCCCCCGTGGCAGCCTGCATCTTCGCAGCCGCTGCTCAAGACAGGCCGCCGCCGCAATCAGTGAGATGTTAGGCAAGCTACAGCTTGAGTAAGGGGCTTTTTTTTTTCTAGACCACATTTAAAAACAGGCAAACAAGTGGGTGGATCCTGCCTGTCTCAGTGGATCTTATTGTCCCCACTCCCATCCCACACATGCATGCACACACACACATATTCACAGAGACACCCAGGCCCTTAGGAACAAGTTTGAAGCATGATCACTAGCTTATAGGCCAGGCTGTCCTCAGCTTTTCACACGTGAGCCAGACCTACCACCTTAACAGCTTTGGGTAAACTATGGAAAAAGGGGTTTCTTTTCACTGTGTCTGGTAAGGTGTAGTATTAGCTTTGTCCCAAGCTCCAAGCTCAGAAGTGAAGAGTGCCTCTATAGGAAAAATGTATGTTGCCCACAAGAATGGTTCATGATTTTGCTCATATTACACAGTGGTTTGGGTACCAATCTTTGAGTAGGCTTGTAAAAGTAGATAGGAAGGGAGGATGCTAAAAACCGTCTCAGAATATCATGATCAGTTTACATTTTAGAATCAGGCTGTTTCTTGTTATTATGTCCCATTTTGAGAAATGTTTTGATTTCATTTTGACTCTGGGCTTGCAATTGGAGAAGTTTGTGGGTGAATTACTTATTTTCCTTCTTGTACAAGTAGTCTTCCACTCTGGGGCACTAAACGTTGTAATTTGAATTCTTCCCTGTATTAATGAATGCTAGTGTTTACCAAACGCTATACCAAATATCTCGAGTTTCCAAGGGCTGCTGTGACAAATTAACACAAACTGGGTGGCTTCGAATATCAGGAATTTATTCTCTCGGATCTGGAGGCCAGAAGTCCAAAATCAAGGTGCGGGCTGTGCCACACTGCCCCTGGAGGCTCCTGCGGGGATTCGCTTCCTGGCCTCTTCCAGCCGCTGGTGGCCGTCAGCACTCTCTCCTCATGGCAACGGCTCTCCAGTCTCTGCCTGTGTGGTCACATTGCCTTCTCTCTGGGTCAAATATCCCTCTGCCTCACTTTTAAAAAAAACTTTTATTGTTTTTTGTTGTGGTAAAATACACATAATGTAAACTTAAACCCTTAGCCATTTTTTTTTTTTGAGACTGAGTCTGGCTCTGTCGCCCAGGCTGGAGTGCGGTGGCCGGATCTCAGCTCACTGCAAGCTCCGCCTCCCGGGTTCACGCCATTCTCCTGCCTCAGCCTCCCGAGTAGCTGGGACCGCCCGCCACTTCGCCCGGCTAGTTTTTTGTATTTTTAGTAGAGACGGGGTTTCACCGTGTTAGCCAGGATGGTCTCGATCTCCTGACCTCGTGATCCAACCGTCTCAGCCTCCCAAAGTGCTGGGATTACAGGCTTGAGCCACCGCGCCCGGCCAAACCCTTAGCCATTTTTAAGTGTACAGTCTTATTAAATGCATTCATAATGTTGTACAACCAGCATCACCATCCATCTATCTCTATAACTCCTTTCATTTTGTAGAACTACACAACTCTGTATCCATCAACAATAACTTCCTATACTCCCCTTCCCCCAGCCCCTGGCAACCAGCATCCTGCTTTCTGGTTCTATGACTCTGACAACTTTAGATATCACAGTAGGCTCGGTGCAGTGGCTCATGCCTGTAATCCCAGCACTTTGGGAGGCCAAGGTGGGCAGCTCACTTGAAGCCAGGACTTTGAGACCAGCCTGATCAACATAGTGAAACCCTGTTTCTACTAAAAATACCAAAAAAACCAGCCAGGTGTGGTGGCACATGCCTATAATCCCAGCTACTTGGGAGGCTGAGGCATGAGAATCACTTGAACCTGGGGGGCAGAGGTTGCAGTGAGCCGAGATGGCGCCACTGCACTCCAACCTGGGTGACAGAGCAAGACTCTGTCTCAAAAAAAAAAAAAAAAAAAAAGATATCACAGTAGAATCATATAGTTGTTGGCCTTTTGTAACTAGTTTATTTCACTTAGCATAATGTCACCAAGACTCATCCGTGTTGTAGCATGTCAGAATTTCCTTTCTTTTTAGCTACGTAATAGTCCGTTGTATGGATACATCACATTTTGCTTGTCCGCTCTTCCATAGATGGACACTTCGGTGGCTTCCACATTTTAGCTATTGTGAGTAATGCCTCTGCCTCACTCTTAGGACACTTGTCATTAGATTTAGGGCCCACCCAGATAACCCAGGACAAGCTCGTCTCAAAATCCTTAACTTAATCACGTCTTTTGCCATAGAAAATAATATTCACAAGTTTTAGGATGGGGACAGATCTTTTGAGGAGCCACCATTCATCCCATTTCACTAAGAATAAAGTTTTCCTTTCCTTCTGTCACTTCTCTGACCAAAAAATAAGAATCTGTTCCAATGTAGCCCCTTCCTAGGCTAGAAGGTTTCTATGCAAGGATATTGTTTTGTTTTGTTTGCAGATGTTCTAATCAAATGTAATGTAACCAAATGTCTTTCAAAACTAGCCTCTCCCTCTCTCCCAGTCAGGTACAACTGCCCTATTCTTCGCCGCCCAGCAAGGCCATAATGATGTCGTGAGATTTCTCTTTGGATTTGGAGCATCCACTGAATTTAGGACCAAAGTAAGATAACTTTCTCGATTTTGTATTATGTTGAAGAATTTCAGCAGCCATGAGTATTGCTTTTCTCCTCATCCATGGTACGAATTTGTGTTTCCCTTTTTACAAGATTCTCAAACCTAAGTAAGTGGATTTCCTCAAGGTTCCTTGTAATGGTTCAGGGGTAGCTCTAAGGGTTCCATTCAAAACATTACATTTTTACTCGGGGCTCACAATTGGAACATTGTATGGGGAATAACTTCTATCCTTTCCTGAACTGATACCTTTCTACTGTAGAACACTAAATTTTGTAACCAGGAGCAGTGGCTTTCTAATTTTCCCTGTTTCCGTGTTCTTTTTCCCACTTCAGATTAATTCTGATACTATGATAGGAATTGTTGGAAGTATTAATCTGATCCTACTAGATCTGAGACATTTCTAAAGAGGGTGGTTTAGCAGGCAGCTTGCTTTCATGAGCTGTCCTCACTGAAATACATAATATATAGCTACAGTTTATATAGTTGGGAAACTATATAGTGGTTCTTCCTTTAAAGAAGTAATTGGCCAGGCGCGGTGGCTCACGTCTGTAATCCCAACAATTTGGGAGGCCGAGGCAGGGGGATCACGAGGTCAGGAGTTCGAGACCAGCCTGACCAACGTGGTGAAACCCTGTCTCTACTAAAAATACAAAAAAAAAATTAGCTAGGCATAGTGGCTCACGCCTGTAATCCCAGCTACTCAGGAGGCTGAGGCAGGAGAATCACTTGAACTCGGGAGGCAGAGGTTGCAGTGAGCCAGGATCACACCACTGCACTCCGGCCTGGGCAACAGAGTGAGACTCCGTCTCAAAAAAAAAAAAGTAATTGATTTTCATTTTTGACATATATATAAGAAAGCTGAGAATGTAGAAAGATTAATTTCATGTTCATAGTATGATTTTACATGATAATATTTTGTAGTAGCAGAATTTGAACTTCCATAAGATTTTTGTAATTGTCAGCTCATTTCTAGCCTAATTATAATTTTTAAATTCCTGAAAATTTGCGCAAGTTGGAAACTTTTAGGTTTTCTTAGTTAATCCTTTTTGTGGACTATTTAGATATCAAGGGAGTTTCCAGTGAGATTTTTTTTCTGTTAAAATGGTAACTACTGGAGCTGGCCAAGGTGGCTCACGCCTGTAATCCCAGCACTTTGGGAAACTGAGGCAGGAGGATAGTTTGAGCTCAGGTGTTCAAGACCAGCCTGGGCAACAAAGCTAGCCCTCATTTCTATTAAAAAAAAAAAAAAAAAAGAATTCGCTGGGCATGGTGGCACATGCCTATAGTCCCAGCTATTTGGGAGACTGAGGCAGGCAGATCACTTGAGCCCGAGGGGTCAAGGCAGCAATGAGCCGGGATCATGCCACTGCACTCCAGCCTGGGTCACAGAGGAAGACCCTGTCTCAAAAAAATTAAAAATAAATAATAAAATTCTAACCATTAAGTAGATGTAAGTTCATATAAGGCTTTGTCTTTTCTGAAGCCTTCTGTTGTACTATGTATATGCCTCTAAACTTACTGAGTATAACATACAGTAATGCGCTCTCTCTCTCTCTCTATATATATATATATACACACACACATTATTATTTTATTTTCTAGTGTAAAAGTGATGTAACTAAAAATAGAAAGCAAAGTCCTATGAACCTAAATATCAACTGTTTGAACTAAGGTCAAAACGATCATGAGTGACCATATGGCTGCTTCAGTCTTCTTGGTTAACGAGTGAATACCGGCTTAAAGCCTTTGTACATGAGCCGATTTGTACTATCTCAGAAATCCATGGAACATGGAACTCAGGATGAGCAATTCCACAGGTTTCCATTAGGTCAGCTGCAGGAAGCAAGAGCTTTCCTTGGGAAGAAGAGAGGGCTGAGAGGCTTTCAGTTTTAAATGATCCTGTCATCAAAACTTTGCTTCAACAATTGTTCTCACTGTTACTAAATTTATATGCCCCAAAACTGTGTTTTATAACATATAAGAGGCTGGGCATGGTGGCTCACACCTAGCACTTTGGGAGGCTGAGGCAGGCAGATCGCTTGAGCCCAGGAGTTCAAGACCAGCCTGGGCAACATGACGAAACCCCATCTTTACCAAAAATATAAAAATTAGCCAGCCATGGTGGCATGTGCCTGTAGTCCCAGCTACTCGGGACGCTGAGATGAGAGGATCACTTGAGCCTGGAAGGTCAAGGCTGCAGTGAGTCATGATTGCGCCACTATACTCCAGCCTGGGTGACAGAGTGAAACCCTGTCTCAAAAAAATTTTTTTTAATTAAATAAAAGATGCCAGGTGTGATGGCTCACACCTGTAATCCCAGCACTTTGGAAGGCCAAGGTGAAAGGATTGCTTGAGACCAGGGGTTGGAGACCAGCCTGGGCAATGTAGCAAGATCCTATCTCTATAAAACATTTAAAAAAAAATTAGTCAGGTATTGTGATGCCAGCTACTCAGGAGGCTGAGGTGGGAGGATTGCTTTAGCCCAGGAGTTCCAGACCAGCTTGGGCCACATAGCAAGACCCCATCTATAAAAAAGTAAAAAATATTTTAAAAGCTGGCACAGTGACATACATCTGTAGTCCCAGCTACTCAAGAGGCTAGGGCAGGAAGATTGCTTGAGCCCAAAAGTTCAAGGATGCAGTGAGCCATGATTGTACCACTGCAGCCCACCTGGGCGACAGAGCAGGACCCTGACATACCTACATACATACAAACAAAAATAACAGCAGTTCGTCTATGAGAATCATCATATTTTATCTTTTCTGTTACTTTATTAGGCAGGAAAATTTATTACTTTATTAGCTAGGAAAATTGACAGGACAAAACTTAGAAATGGTGCTTATTCCTGCTGTTACGCAATTTTGTGATGCCTCCTCACCACCACCATCTACCCCCAGCCTCAGTCTCCCTCCTCTCCATTCCCCACTCTTCAAAGTCCATCTCAAGCACCCTCCCCCACCACAGAGCCTGCCTCTGGGAAGGCCCTACCCAGCCACACGCGGCCTGCAGCCCCGTAGGATGTTACCTGCCTATGAACTCGAGACCTTTTATAGCAGTGTTTCTCCACGTGAGGCCCACCTGCCACCTGCCTACATAATCAACCCACATGACTGGTCAAAAGGCATATTTCTGGATCTCACCCCAGACCTACTGAAGGCGGGGCTGAGGGTGGGGCTCTATGCGTAGGTATTTTGAACAAATACCTTATTCCCAAATTTAGAAACTACAATATCTTATATTTATGATTCATATTTTATAACCAGATTATGTGTTTTCGAATTACTTATAATTAGCTCAGATGTCCAGTTCAAAGAGCCAAACAACTCAATGCTAAATGGGAAAAGAGAATGCCTTAGCTGTAGCACCTGACGAAAACCATTAAGGGTTTTAGTTGACCACAAACTCAATGAGTCAGCAGTGTGATGTGGTTGGTAGAAAAGCTCTTTCTAATTTAGGCTGCAGAGATAAAAGTAGAGTAGAGGGAACACAGGAATATCCCATTCCACATTAGAGCACGTGTACTTTATAGTGCTCTGCTTAGTTGGTTTCTGGTTTTTTTTTTTTTTAACTTTGTTTGTTTGTTTTGACACAGTGTCTCGCCCTGTCACCCAGGTTGGGGTGCAGTGGTGTGATCTTGACTCACTGCAACCTCCACTTCCCAGGCTCAATCAATCCTCCGACCTCAGCCTCCCAAGTTGCTGGGACTCCAGGCACACACCATCACGCCCTGGCTAATTTTTGTATTATTTGTAGAGATGGAGTTTTGCCATGTTGCTCAGGCTTCTGCTTTGTTTTTAGGGCCTCACTTTTAAAGAGACCTGGACAAATTGGCACATGTTAAAAGGAAAACACTAAGTAGGATAGTGAGAGACACACAGAATGTGCCATAGCTATCCACTCTTTTAATGGACGCAGGTCTTGTCCCATGAGGGCAATGGCCCCAGAGGGTTACCCCGTAAAAACTCCTTAATCTCAGTGGTCTGCCACTGGGTTTTGTCACAGGGAGAAGACGGTGTTTGCCCGGAAAGTCTCTGGCCAGAAGCCCTGGGAGGCTTTCCTGATGATTCCAAGAAGAACTGACAAGACTTGCTACAGACTTTCTGTTCTGTATTTCTCATATTGAGAAGCAAATAGATGATTCTGCATTTGGCACAGGAATTTTCTAAGTTAATTCATAATAAATAACTTGGTCAAATAACTGTAATACATCTCTAGCAAGCCACCCACATATACAACATGATCATGTCCTTAGGATGAACTCTGCCATAATTATAAAGAAAAAGTAAAAGGGATAAAAGAGGGAAAGTAGGCCAGACGTGGTGGCTCATGCCTATAATCCCAGCACTTTGGGAGGCTGAGGCAGGCGGATCATTTGAGGTCAGGAGTTCAAGACCAGCATGCCAACATAGTGAAACCCCCGTCTCTACTAAAAATACAAAAATTAGCCGGGCATGGTGGTGTACAGGCAGGAAGATTGCTTGAGCCCAAGAGTTCGAGACCAGCCTGGGCAACATAGCAAGACCCTGTCTCTACTACAAATTTTTTTAAAAAATAACTGGATGTGGTGATATACGCCTATAGTCCCAACAACTCGAGGCTGAGGTGGAAGGATCGCTTGAGCTGAGGAGGTTGACGCTGCGTTGAGCTGTGGTCGCACCACTACACTGCAGGTCTGGGTAACAGAGGGAGACCCTGTCTCAAAAAAAAAAAAAGAGAGAGAGAGACAGACAAGGTCTTGCTATGTTTCCAGGGCTGATCTTGAACTCCTGGAACAGTAGTCCCAGCTACTCAGGAGGCTGAGGCAAGAGAATCGCTTGAACCCAGGAGGCAGAGATTGCAGTAAACCGAGATTGCACCACTGCACTCCAGCCTAGAAGACAGAGCAAGACTCCTTCTCAAAAAAAAAAAAAAAAAAAAAAAAGAGGGAAAGTGAGTTTGTTATTATCTTTGTTATTATCTTTGGGAAAACTCTCTTCCTAAATTCTATGTATGTGAGGAGCATCCGCTTGGTGAAATATGTGCCTGCGCCACCTCTAATGTGTTTATGTTTTGCGTGTCCATAGGACGGGGGCACCGCCCTCTTGGCTGCCAGTCAGTACGGGCACATGCAGGTGGTGGAGACCTTGCTGAAGCACGGAGCAAACATCCATGACCAACTTTATGTGAGTGCATTTCAGGGGGACATCAGGACATTTCTCATCACACACAAAATTGCAGTCTAAATTCAGATGCCAGAAATGCCAACTTCAAAAATATTGTAGTGGACAGTGGGACTTTGGTCTGAGTCAAGAGAAAAATATGTAGCGGACCAGATGGGCTTTTTTAAATATAGAAATCATGTATTGGCCAGGCATGGTGGCTCACGCCTATAATCCCAGCATTTTGGGAGGCCAAGGTGGGTGAATCACAAGGTCAGAAGTTCGAGACCAGCTTGGCCAATGTGGTGAAACCCCAGCTCTACTAAAAATACAAAAATTAGCTGGGGATGGTGGCAGGTGCCTGTAATCCCAGCTACTCAGGAGGCTGAGGCAGGAGAATTGCTTGACCCAGGAGGTGAAGGTTGCAGTGAGCTGAGATCACACTACTGCACTCCAGCCTAGGCGACATAGCAAGACTCTGTCCCCCGCCACAAAAAAAAGAAACCATTTTTCTTATTTACCCATCTCTGTTCTCCCTTTTAAATCTGTTTGTTGTGCAGATGAAACATTTCATGTACCTATGCAATTAAGACCTTCGAAAATCATGTGATGCTTATTCGTACCATGACAAACCACAAAGCCCAGCATATGGACTTGCTGAAAACCAAAATATACAAAATTTTTCTAAATGTGCTCATTGGATATAAAAAATATACTGTTGTAGTATTTGTGAGGAAGGGCACAAAGAGGAGAAATCTAAGGTATTTGGAAGAAAAGCGAGGTTGGATGGATGAAGACCTCTGTGAAATATATGCATGCCATTGACCTGTGAAAGGCATCCACTGCTAGTGTGGGTCTGTTTGCAGCTAACTGTCGATTAGTACATCACCCAAGGGCCTTTCAATTGATTGTTACTATAATGCCATAGGATTTATGGCAAACATTACTCCAGTTTTGTAGGAAAAAACAGAATATAGGGAGATGAATAGACTTGACAGTCTCATGGTGAAGCGCGGAAAAATTCCTACTTCCAATGATCTAGGAACTGTATTTTAGGCTGTCCTACAGCTAGGCATTTAACCCTTATGCCTGGGGCACTCACTGTACTTTCATAGATGTGTAATGAGCTGTGTAGGTGTGAACTTTTCCATTTGAACACCCTTTCCAGAGTCTACATGGTTAACCCTGACAAATCACAGGCCTCTTTGAAATTCATAGCAGCTAGCCTCACCCTCTGCACTTCAAAATCTGTAACACTCTTTGAGCCTGCAACATTACCAGTAGAATGATTGAATTACTTGATAAAGAAGCAATTCTCAACTCTGGCTGCCCATTAGAATTATCTGGGGAGGTTTAAAAAAATACCAATTTTGAGGCCCACCACAGACCAACAAAACTGGAGTCTCTGAAGGCACAGCTTGGGCAACAGGTGTTTCTCACTTGTAGCCACCCTAAGAAGCACAGGTCCAAAGGTTAGATATGTCTTTGGCTATATATAGGTAAAGTATATCTGAGAATGTGTAGTACATATATATATACACACATTGAATAGGAAAAGCCAAAGTGTTTGGAAAAGAAAAGCCCCTTTCCATAGTAATTTCATCTCTGTTTTAAGGTGACTCAAGAAATTTCGTGCATTATAACTTCCATTTTATATTAAGACCTTTACCTTTACCCAAACAATCTAAATGTTTTCTTCAAAACAATTGAAATTGTTTGGATGGGCGGGGCAAAACTGAAACTTGGAATGCACAGTGAAAAATTGAATGCATGGGTAGTTCATCTTGGAAAATTCCTGACAGTTAAAAAAAAAAATTTTAAAAACAAAAAAAGAAAAAGAAAATTCCTGAGAGTTTTCAGCAGCTAAGGGCATGGTAGACTTTCTGAAAATTTTATCCCCATATAAAACATCTGCTTGAAAATCTGTACAGGCTGATTAATTTCTTAATGATTGCCTGGAGGGCAGTTTGGCAGCTCAGCTGACACCCACTGGAAATCCAGGACCCTCCACGTGACACACGTGGCTGGACTTGCAGGGAAACGTGTCTTATATTTTTGCTTGAGGTTAGTGTTCCCAACGGGAGGTGTGGTAATTAGCTGGATTCTAGGTGTTTTCCTCTAGGGTGTGTTCTGGTTTTCCACTGTGGTCTGAAAACAATGAAGCTCACCCTGCGCTGTGAATGTTATCAGGCTGAAGGGAGCATCCAAGGAAAATGCATGCTCTCAGCTGCGCCGTACATCTGCCGAAAGCACCAGTGATATATGTCCAAGAAAACAGAAATGCCCAGAAGGCACAGATATTCAGTTAAGAAGAAAACTAAAGAGCACTGGAAAAGGGACACTTGCTCTGGGCTTTATGCAGGAGTGCTTTTTTGTGTTTGTAGGTGGTGTTGGTGTCTGCTGGGCTGGCAGAGAAACACTTTGTGGAGATGATTTCTAGGGCAGTTTCATTGAAAACATCTTCCGGGGTTCTTTTGTGTTTTGTTTTGTTTTGTCTTGTTTTGTTTTAGAGACAGGGCATCTGGGTGTGGTGGCTCATGCCTGTAATCCTAGTGCTTTGAGGCAGGAGGATTGCTTGAGCCCAAGAGTTCGAGACCAGCCTGGGCAACAGAGCAAGACCCTGTCTCTACTAGAATTTTTTTTTTTTAATTAACTGGATGTGGTGATGCATGCCTGTAGTCCCAACAACTCGGGAGGCTGAGGTAGAAGGATCGCTTGAGCTGAGGAGGTTGATGCTGCATTGAGCTGTGGTCGCACCACTACACTCCAGGTCTGGGTAACAAAGGGAGACCCTGTCTCAAAAAAAGAGAGAGAGAGAGAGAAGGTCTTGCTATGTTTCCAGGGCTGATCTTGAACTCCTGGGCTCAAGCTATCTCCCTGCCTCAGCCTCTTGAGTAGTTGGGACCACAGGTGCCTGCCACCGTACCCAGCTGCATATTGTATCATAATTCTTGCAGAACTCTCATGTTGGGGAACAAGGATAAGGGGACAAGAAAGAGAAAAGGGTAGGAAAGATCTAATTAGAAGGACACCTTTTACTCTCAATTCTTTTTTCTTTTTCTTTTTTTCTTTTTTTTTTTTTTTTGGAGACAGGGTCTCACTTTGTTCCCTAGGCTTGGAGTGCAATGGCACCAACATGGCTCACTGTAATTTCAACTTCCCAGGCTCAAGTGATCCTCCTGCCTCAGTGCCCCCAAGTAGCTGGGACCATAAGCACATGCCACCTTGCCCAGCTAATTAAAACAATTTTTTTTGTAGAAATTTAAAAATACATTAAAAAGAAATTTTTAAAAAATGAGGTTTGGGGGATTTGTATATCTGTCATTTGGCTCTTCATTGACAAAAAGGTGGAAACCTACAAAGAGATGGAGATGGAAACTTATGTTAAATGTGTATATTTTAAATCTAATGTATTTTATTTTATTTATTTTGAGACAGAGTCTCACTCTGTTGCCCAGGCTGGAATGCAGTGACACAATTTTGGCTCACTGTAACCTCCACCTCCTGGGTTCAAGAGATTCTTCTGCCTCAGCCTCCCGAGTATCTTGGATTACAGGTATGCGGCACTACACCTGGCTAATTTTTGTATTTTTATTTGTTTTTTGATTTTTTTGTTTTTTAAGGAGGAGTTTTGCTCTTTGGTCCAGGCTGGAGTGAAGTGGTGCGATCTCAGCTCACTGCAACCTGTGCCTCTGGGTTCAAGCGATTCTCCTGCCTCAGCCTTCAGAGTAGCTGGGATTATAGGTGGCCGCCACCATGCCTGGCTAATTTTTTGTATTTTTAGTAGAGATGGGGTTTTGCCCTGTTGACCAGGCTGGTCTTGAACTCCTGACATCAGATGATCCACCTGCCTCGGCCTCCCAAAGTGCTAGGATTACAGGCGTGAGCCGCCGTGCCCAGCCTAATTTTTGTGTTTTTAGCAGAGATGGGATTTCACCATGTTGGCCAGGCTGGTCTCTATCTCCTGGATTCACCTACCTCGGCCTCCCAAAGTGCTGGGATTACAGGCATGAGCCACTGCGCCCACCCTAATTTCTTTTAAAATAAGTGTGAAAGATAATGTTTTTAGTGCTTTTAATTTGTTCTCTCTCAGGATGGAGCCACTGCCCTCTTCCTAGCTGCCCAAGGTGGTTACTTGGATGTTATTCGATTACTGCTGGCTTCAGGAGCAAAAGTCAACCAGCCAAGGCAGGTAATGTCCACTGTTGACATTTGCCCAAGCACATGGAGCATGGGGCAGGGAGGGCTGGGTATCCCCTGGCAGCACATACCTGAGATAACCAGTAAGCTCAAGGCATCCTTTAAACTTTTCTGTTTCTGTGATGAAAAGTTAACCTTTGAGTAGGGTATCTCCTGTTGTATGCTCTGAGCTGACCTGAAAGCCTATGAAACCAAGCTGACATCACAGTTCAGTACTTTCAAAACTTAAGTGTTTGATGTCTGAGGTCAAGTACACACTCTGCCACCTCCTATACAAACGAATTATGGCTGCACTGATCTAATGAGTGCAGGCTGGCCTGGGACTAGGTAAACAGATGTGGGTCGGGTAGCCTGGCCCCTGCTGATAATGCTGCCTTACTACCTGCCCACCAGTTCTTCCACCAAGCCAAAGAGGAGCCCATGGCATTGGAATCATTAGGAGGTTCTGCACCTTCATCTCTCACAATTATTATACTGTTGTGACTTCATTTACCTACAGCAAGCTAACATCTAGCAAGTCAATTAACTGACATTAAAAGAACATAAGTGTAGGCTGGGAGCTGTGGCTCATGCCTATAATCCCAGCACTCTGGGAGGCCGAGGCAGGAGGATCACTTGAGGCCAGGAGTTTGAAGGCTAGCCTGGCCAACATGATGAAACCCTGTCTCTACTAAAAATGCAAAAATTAGCCAGGCGTGGTGGCACATGCCTGTAATCCCAGCTACTTGGGAGGATGAGGCAGGAGAATCACTTGAACCTGGGAGGCAGAGGTTGCAATGAGCTGAGATCACAGCACTGCATTCCAGTCTTGGCAATAGAACAAGACTCTGTCTCAAAAAAAAAGAGTAATAATTTTAAAAAAGAACAGAAATGCAGGATTATACAGGCAGCACTTTATAAACAGTGAAGAACCTTCCAAATGTACAGTATTATAATTAGCTTCTCTTGTGTAGGTACTATTTTTGTCCAGATTAACTTTTTTTTTTTTTGAGACAGAGTCTTGCTCTGTCGTCCAGGATGGAGTGTGGTGGCACGATCTCGACCCATTGCAACCTTCGCCTCCTGGATTCAAGCGATTCTTGTGCCTCAGCCTCCCAAATAGCTAGGATTATAGGTGTGCACCAGCACGCCCAGCTAATTTTTGTATTTTTAGTAGAGATACATTTTGGTAGACAGCCATGTTTCCCAGGCTGGTCCCGAACTCCTGGCCTCAAGTGATCTGCACCCCTTGGGCTCCCAAAGTGCTGGGGTTACCGGTGTGAGCCACCATGCCTGGCCCCAGGTTAATTTATTTTTAACAAAACATTTCAAATTAAGGAAACATTACTAAGAAGGTAGTTTCCTAGGGAAAAGTCAAGCTGATTTTGTACCCAGGCACATCTCCGCTGTAATATGACCTGATACAGGAATGCCTCTCTGTGTTCACGTAATGAATAGCTATGAAGGACTTCAAGGTTGGTCTGAGCTCTTGGACACAGGTTTCTTTGGTCTTTAGAAGCCCAAGCACATAAGGAGCCTGAGAAAAAGAAAGAGCCTTTGGGCAGAGTGGTTTGAGGTTAGAAAGGCGAAGTGGTTTTGAGGTCAGGAATCCCGAGTTCTCGATCCATCTCTGCCAATAATTTGAGCTGTGTGGTTTTGAACAAGTGAAGCAACCTCTCTGGGCCTGACTTGCATCACTGAAAATTAGGAGACTGGGCAGGATGAGCCTGATGGTCTCTTCAAATGCCCACATTTTAAATAACTGTTTTATTCAACATTCAATCAGTATTTCTTGAGTACTTACCATGTGCCAGACAGTGCTATCAATGTAAGGTTATATTTTTAGAGTTGTAAAGTTTTTCTTAGGTGGCCCCAGGAATACTCCTGGAAAAGGAAGCAGTTTCAAAAAAAGTTTTACTTCTGTACCGGCTAGAGTTGACTTTTGAGGATTGGAGTTTAATCTTTTCGTATTGGTCCTTCTTATTGTGTTGTTGTTGATTGATTCTGAATCAGAGGCTTCATTTTACTAAAATTAGTAAGAGGAATTGGTTATTTTTAGATTGTGTAAGTTTGATTTTGGGGCCATAATTGAAGATACCACTGAGAATGTGAGGTTATCAAGATTATCAAGTCCTCTCTATTAGTACATCCTTCCAAAATAATTTCTGGCACTTTGAATTTTATTCTTTATATGCCTAAAGTACTATTTGTAAAAAACCAAGCTGATATAAGAGATTATATTTCAAATGTTGCATGAGCCCTGCCCACTTAAATCTAAAATGAGTCATGCAGTGATGTTGAAGCCAAGAAGTTAAAGAGTAAACCAACATTGCAACAGTAGCCACAACACACCACAGCTGTTTTTTCTTCCTCAAGAGTTAGGATAACCTGGTCAAAGTGGATGACCTAGTCTTTGCGTGCAGGGATCCTCCCTCTGGTCAAGGAGCAAGTGCTACACCTTCTAAAGACTGCATCTAATGCAATTGTTTTGAATTATTTTGAGTTCAGCCCTGAAAGAATTGTTATTCAGGAAATGGGTGTCTTATAAAATAAGTATTGCTTTGGGGAAAAAAAGGCAATGGAATTTTTCCTTTTTATAGAGTATATACCCCATTGTGCCCTCAAATTATAGTAATTTGTATTACCTACTGTGAGCTTATAATTAGAGGTTGTTATCTATCCAGGTCAGACTAGCTCAAGTTCCATCTTCTCTGAAAGTGTAAACTCTGCATATTTATTCTGTTCCAAGAAAACAGTGCCATGCGTATGATAAAAGTGATACCCGTCCTGGCTGACTTTGTCACACGTTATAAGGAGGTTTAAAAAAAAAAAAAAAGTCTAATTAAAAGTTTCTATTAAAATGGCCTGCACATGGTAAAATATACTATAGGTAGAGCATTTGGAAACCAATGTTTTATTCTGAAATCTCAGCTGACACATTGAGTCATTATTGGAAAAATCCTTGAATTTACAAAATGAGGACAAGGATACCTGCGTGGTTTAATTTCCTAATACTTTTGGCTAAATCTGATTTGTAATTGTTGCACTGCCATTCTGTGAAGCCCTACCATTTTATTATGGTATCCTGTAACAGGATGTTGACAAAATTACATTGAAATTACTCAGCTGACATTTGATATGAGCTTCAGGGAATCTGAACTGTAGTGGGAATGACTTTTCTTTGTAACTCTATCACTGAGAACTAAATGAAGACCTTTTTAGTACTTTGGGATGAAGAATCATAATCCCAAAGCTAGTCATAGCCAGACAATAGGAAGACTATGTTCTTGATTTGAAACTTGAAAAAATATTTTCCTTCCATATTGTCCTAAGCCAAAAGGTCAAGAGTCACAGAGATCATTGAAATATAGATTTCACTCTAAAAATTTATTTTCATTTCTTTCCATGTATCCTCACCAAGTTGAATTGATATGAGTCAAACCTTTTTAATCACTAGCTGAGGTGGCTATTTCTATTTTTCTGTTAACCAAATGCCTTGACATATATTTTCCCAACTCAACTCACCCACCTTATTAAAACAATACTTCTATAGAATGCAAAGATCTGATCCTGTTAACCCAGAGCTGAGGTTAGTCAGTCATAACTCATCTCTGTCTAGTTTTTTTCATGTGCTGAACAGTATTTCTTTGAAGCCTAGAGGAAAAGCCGTCTGATAAAGTGCCTTCTCCTAACAGAAGCCTTGACTTGTACACAGAGTAGCTGGGGCCAGAAAGGAAATGTTCTCCCAGGTCAGAAGCTTGGAGGGGTGAACCCATCAATGGCAGTGGGAGAAGGAGTCAAAAGATTGGCATAGAATCCTGAGGCTTTGGAAATGGGAGCAGACAGCCATAGGAAGGCCTTGCTGCTTGTCGAGGGCAGGGACTCTGTCTTGTGCCCTTTGCACGTGGTGCACACTCAGAAAAAGTGTGTTGACTGCCAGAAGGTCCCCATGGCTGGTACAGAGCACCAAGAAGGTCTGGAAGCCTGCAGCATTTAGTGATCAGTGCCCTGAGAGTTAGAAGAAGGCTCCAGATATAGGGCCCAGACTCAGAAGCAGGACATCAGCCCCAGGAAGACTGTAAGAGGCAGCTAGGGAGCAGACCCAGATTTTTTGGGTGGAGAGCAGCTTGGAAATTATGGGGATATGGATATCTTAAAATGAAACACAGTTCCCATTTTGCTTATTAACCGTGTGACCTTAGCAAGTTGCCTACTCTCCCTGAATTTATTCAGTATTCAGTATTTTTAGGACTACTGCAAGAATTAAATAAAATAATCCCTGCAAAACTCTTAATGCAGTGTCTGATACACACCCAGTGCAATGTTAGGTATTGCTGTTATTATCTTTTCTATGCCAACCAGGCCTCATTGGAACAGAAAAGCCATCAGAAATCAAGGCTGCACTTTCTCTAGTGAGCCATGTGTTCTCTGTCATCTCAAAGTCCCTTCATATGTCTTTCTCTCCCCACTCCTTTCTTTTTTTTACCAGTTTCGTCTGCTTACTTGTATGTGGTCCCCAGGTTTATGGATCAGACTGCCAAACTCTGGGGATAGCCATGTCATTGTCACAGCTCATCTTTGTGCACCAGGCCACAGTGACTGGCTGGCCTGCCTGTCCTCAATCCCATCACCCTTGACTGGGGAGGATAGAGTCGGACCATGGGCAATGCAGCATCTGGTAACATCTGTTACAGACCCATTTGCTGGGCCAGGCACACGATGCAAGGGATAATCATAAGAAATAGGCTCCAGGTCAGGGTAGGGTGGGTAAGAAAATTATCTCAATATTGAACTCCCTCTGCCACGGGCAAGGTTCCTCACAGCTCTTGGACTCCCAGCTTAGAATAGAATTGGTCCCCAAGACTTTCTGACTGGCCTCACCCTGTAGGTAGAAGTAACCCAAGTGTGAAGACTGGAAATCGGGGGAGCAAAGAGCTAGTGCTGCTTCAGATACTCACTCCCACAGAAAAGGATGGGTTTAGTTCTTTTTCCCAAATACTCTCAGGAGCCTAA